GCAAAGAAATGAGCTTTAGATACACTCAACACTTGGCTGGATTGCAACAGAATTAATACTGAGTGAAAATAACCAGTATCAAAAGGCTATGGATTACATACTATATGATTCCATTTATGCAACACTTTCAAAATGCCAAAATTAAGAGATGGAAATCAGAATAGAAACTGTCAGGGATTAGTAATGGGGAAAGGGATCTTTGCAGAGGCAGAACAATTGTGTATCTTTTTTTGACTTGGCTGCATGACGTGCAGGATCTGTCCCTATCAGGGATTCAACCTGGGCCCCAGAACTGAAAGCTCTGAATCCTAACCACTGGACCACCAGGGAATTTCCAACAATTCTGTCTCTTGATTGTAGTGACGGTTACACAAACCAGCACATGTGATAAAACTGTATAGAACTACACACACAAACATGCATGCACATACACTCATTCAGATACACACACGTGCATGCGAAACCGGCAAAACTGGAAAAAACGTCTCTAAAAAATACCCATTTCAGTTTTCAGGTTTTAACACTGTACTATACTTCTGTAAGATGTTATCATTGGGGAAACCTGGGGAAAGGCTACACAGGACCTTTGGGTACTATGGATGCTGTTTCTTGTGAATCAGGAATTATTTCAAGATAAAAACTTGAAAGAAAAAACAAATCAACAGGGCCTATTGGTCATCTGTTCCTTAATTTCCCCAAACATGTACCTCCTTTGAATACCCCACACTGGCATATAGCCATCTGCTCCAGACACCCAGGAAAGAAGCTGACTTCAGTCTCTCCCCACCCGCATCCAGTTAGGTACCACTTCCTAGCTCAGTCAGTCCTGATAGAAATCTCAGGAGCAGATTTCCCCCTCTCTTATCACTGCCACCCCAGAGCAATCTGACCACACCCATCCCTGTTTGTCTCGGCTTCACCCAAATCCAATTTCAGTTCTCCTGTGGGTCAACTTCACCAACACAGAATTCCTCACCCCAAATATTGTAATGTTTTCCACATCTGTGCCTTTCAGCAAACTTTCTCCCACCTGCTGGGAAAGTCCTCATATCCTCTCTCAAGCTTATACAAATTTTACAAATGGCCTCAAATCTTGTCTCATGATGAAGATTACTCCAGGTCCCCCAAGACCAAGTAATTGTCACCTCTTCAGCAACTACCCTGTTCTTCCCACAGAATTCTATCCTAGCACTTGCCACCTTAACCTGTAATTATTTAGATGTGTGTTTGAAACCCACCTCCTAATTTTACAATCATCCGTCTGCTGGTTAGTTTCTCTCATCTTACTTGAATAGAAAACATGCATATTGAACTTCCTGATGGTCTAGGGGCTAAGAATTCACCTGCCAATGCAGAAGACACAGGTTGGATCCCCGGTCTGGGAAGACTGCACGTGCCATGGGGCAACTGAATGCACGAGCCATAACTACTGAAGCCCGTGCACCCTGGAGCTTGTACTCCACAACAAGAGAAGCTACTGCAATGGAGCCCGAGCACAGAAACTAGTGGGTATCCCCTGCCTGGTGCAATTAGAAAAATCCCACACAATGCAACGAAGACTCAGAACAGCCAAAATATAAAAAAATAATAAAAACAATTAAAAATTAAAACTATGTATGTTAAGTACATTAGAAATGGAACAGCATTTTCTGTGTTGAACTGAGGACTTCTCAGCAATTTGAAGCAAAAATCCTTCTGTACTATTAGATGACTACTTAAATAGACCTTTAATACATCATACCTCTCAGAGTTTATGGGTGGTCTCTATACTACCTGTAGGCCTGTATTTCCTCTAAACTTGAAAACTAGCTTTTTAAGACATATATTCTTCATAGTCCACAGACTAAGATATCACAGTCCCACAAATCTTTCCTCCCCAGGTAAAACGAACAACTGGAATGTTGTTAAATGCCAAGGGCTGAGGGGAATTTGCAAAACGGTAGTCATGCACACACAGCATTGGTGAGCACAGACACACAGCAATGGAGACACAGACAATGGCTGTGGTGACACATGCACACAGCAATAGTGGACAGACCCACAGTGATGGTGAACACTGACACACGGCAATCTCAAACTGAATGGCTATTCAGGGCCCCTGGAAATATCACAATCACATATTGGCAAATCATTTTATATGGGTGAGTAAACAAAAAGTTCAGAACCAAATAGAAATCTAGAATCATTCAATTTCCTAAGTAAGTTATTGACTAGAGAAAAAAAAAGCACAACCTAAAAGTTGAGAATTATGTCTTATTTGGGGACCTTACTGAGAACTATAGCCTGGGAGACTGCGTCTCAGAGAGCTATGAGGGAGAGAGCTCAAAGAGGTAAGGGAGGAGCCAGGATATATAGAAGTTTTTGCTGAAAAAAAAAAAACATGTAGTCAAACATCAAGATTAGTGCCAATCACAAATAAGCCAACATCACGTTAATGATGATAGTTGCCTTTCTGTGAATGGGCAGATGTAAGAGTCTGGGCTCACTGAAATCATTCCTTTGATGTGCATGTTAAAGGGGTCCTGTCTGGGGCCCTCATCCTGCTTCTCTCCACCCGAGTCCTTTCAGGTACACCATTAAGGGCAGCTGCAGTGGCCAAGAGTTTAATGGCAGGCAACATTCCTTGTTTACTAAAATGGCAGGCAACATTTTTTGTCCAACGTTCAGTGAAGGAAAATATGGGAATTTTCATATTCTTATAAAGACATTTGACTATTCCTTTAGTTGACTAATTGCACAGCTAAACATTAGTTGTTGCAATCAAGGGCGACAAGGAGGGGAAGGGTGGATGATGCATCCGTCAAGAAGAATGTTAAAACCATCATATGCTATTCCTGTTCATGAATAATTACCTGTCAGGACCTCACTCTGGTAGTAGCTAAAGCCCTTAGCAGGTACCTGCAACCATCAATACTTGATACCACTAAAATACCTCTGCCTTATTCACAAGAAAACCCAGATGGTCTTCCACATAAACTGTTACTCTCCTGTATCAGCAGAATGGTGGTGGTGGCACTCCTGGGACCTGGCAGCATGGCGGAATGCAGAGGCTGGACTCCGCTACAGTCAGGACTCACTTCTGCTGAGCTTCGGGGGCCAGCCTGGTCCCGAGGGGGCATGGAGGCCACGCCCTGGGAGTGGAGGGTCAGCGGGTCTCCGGAGGTCGGCCCTGGAGAGCCCTCAGCGGCAGAGAACGTGACCTTGGTGCCCGGCTGCCACCGGAGTTGTCAGACCACGGCCCGAGGCTCCCTCGCGTCCCTGCACATGGGTGTCCCTCCCACCATGGCAGTGCAATCTTTAATTTAATCTGTTACTACTTGTTATATGGACCTGAAGATATTTTATTACAGGGTTTTTCATTAGTGAAAAATTCATGCATACCATAGAGAAAATATTTTAGAATTTAATGTTTCTTATATTTATGTAAACTTATGACTTCATTTATATGCTTATTCTTGTATATTCAGGCTATAAATATACTTTCAGATCAATTCATATTCTGATACATGATTTTAGTCTTTCAAATGAATGTACTGTACTGCTTGTCTGTATAAAGCCTATGAACAAACATAGGGCTTTTGTAAATGATGCATTTATTGTCATTATCCTTGTTTAATTTTTAAATGATAAACCACGAGAGAAGGGGTTTTCCTGCGATTGTAAAACCATCATGACACGGTGTGCATTATCCTTCCAGAATGTTAACCAAGCTCTCCAACAATCACTCTGAAATGAGCAAACTTAATTTCAACCAATTGTCGCATTTTAACGACTGACTTAAACTGTACTTTTTCCAGCAAGAAATGCTTTTTGTCTGCAGCGTGAAGTGACGTTAAAGTATGGGTGCTGAATGTGAGCTTCTACTGAAATCTGGGCTGAAAGCATGACTAGAAGCCTATGACAATCTCTCCCATAACCTGGTCTCTATGGACCCGGATCCCTCCTCTCCACTGAGACTTTTCGGGGACCAATCACGATGCCCTGCGCCCGCTGCAGAGCTGATGCACTGGACGGTGAAGGAGCCACATCCCTGACAGACAGACAGCGTAGTGCAGCTCTGACGAAGGCCTTATTTTTCTTCTGTAAATCATCTTTTCACATCTGTTTGTAAACTTGTTAAAAGAATGGATCTAGGCATACATTTTTAGATTTTGATGACATAGCCATTCTGGATTGTATAGGTAGCAAATGTAACTTTTACTTGTTCAGTGGCACATTAAAAAAGCCAGCAAGAGATGCGTTCAGATCACGGTGTGTTGTTTATTATGCCGCTGATATCTTGGTAGACAGAGACGGCATGTCTCTTTACATGTGGGTAGCGCCTTTAACTTACCTGTACAGTTCACTGTTACCATTCTGTTTTTCTATTAATCTTTTGTGAACTTCCTGAATATGTGAGAAAGTACGTACAGTTTACTTTTGAACAATTTTTATCACAGTATTATTTATTGCTTTCTTTCAATAAAGTACTGAAGCCAAATGTCCCACTGCCACTTAAGAGTGCTGAGGGTAAGCTGGACTCTCACTGAGAACAGGCCCGAGCTGGTAATGGGAGCCCGTGTCATCACATGGGCCCTCTGGTAAGAGAAACGCATGGAGAGAATGGAAAGGCTAGAAGGGGGAACTATAGATGTCCCCAAAGGATGACCGATGGGGTGTTCATGCCTTTGGATCCAGAGACAAGAGGCTCCATCACTTCAGCATCTTCGGGGACAGGACCCCTCTGCTGCAGAGGCGAGGGCAGTGGGCCGAGGGTGGCAAGAGAGTGCAGGTGTCAAGGCTCACCGAGGGTGCCCGGGCGGGGTGGCCAGGGGAATGCACTAGAGAGTGTGCATGTGCATGCTTGTGTATGGGAGCTGTTTATGTTAATTTAGTCAACAGTCTTTATTATTCATATACCCATAGAAACAAGAATGTAGCAAGGGGAGGTGGCAGGGAGATTCACGAGGGACGGGACATACGTACACCTATGGCTAATTCATGTTGATTTACGGCAGAAATCAAACCGATATTGCACAGCAATTATGCTTCAGAAAGAAAGAACATACAAAGGTGGTCAGGAACGTATGAAAAAAAGATTTCTCATAGAGATTTTTTTTTTTCTCATGGAGATTTACAATCACAACTCTGTGTACATCTGGGTGCAGGCTGCCCACCATCATCAGACTGGCCCACAGCATCAGACATTCCTCCCCAGCATCAGGCCCTCCCCCAGCATCAGACCATACTACAACATCAGACACTCGCCCAGCAACAGGCCCTCCCCCAGCATCAGACCCTAGTCTAGCATCAGACATTCCCCCAGCCTCAGACCCTAGTCCAGCATCAGAAGACGCCCCCCCCAGCATAAGGCCCTAGTCCAGCATCAGACACTCGGCCAGCAACAGGCTCTTCCCCGAGCTTCTGATCCTAGACTAGCACAAGACGCATCAGACGTACCCCCTCAACATCCGGCCCTAGTCCAGCATCAGACCCACCCCCAGTGTCAGGCCCTCCCCCAGCATCAGGCATGGCAGCCCCACTTGTCTGATGCTCCTGAGCACACTCAGGCAGCCCCTGAGCAGCACGACAACAGCTCGTGCAGGAGGTGCATCTGTAGGAATCACCTGCAGAGCAGCAGCAGCTGGGGTCTGTTTCAGGTCAAGGAGAGGTGGAGGGGCACTTGTGGAGGAGGCAGCCATGCTGTAGGCACGCTCCCCAGCTCTGCTTCCTCCCCATGGGGGCTCTGCTCTCCTGCTCTCTCACAGGCCCCAGGGCAGTGTCCTTCCAGATTCACGGTTGCCTTGATATCTCAAGCCCAAGTTCTGAGTTGCCACCCAGTCCGGCGAGGCAGAGGGCTGGGAGCACCCACGCTGAGGGGCTGAAAGGATCCCAGGGGGACAGCCGGGCCCCAGTGGGTGGCGGGGCAGGGGATGAGGGTGGCCGCCCACAGAGGGCCCCGCAGCAGCACTGCAAGGACAGCAGCGATGCCTCAGCTCACTCGGGGACGCTGCCAGCCTAGCACTCAGAGATGTTACCGCCGGCAGCAGCTCTGGGGATGCAGGAAGCCCGGTGAGTGACACCACGCTACTCAGGCCGTGTGCATGGGCACTGCTGACCATGGCCTCGGTTTTCATTCTGGTTCCAACTGTCCCTCCAAGGGCTGACGGGCTCCTCTTCTGAACGGCACACTTGTTTTATGTGGGTGAAGGTGTCCCTGCTTGTTTCTGTCCGCACTGTCGCCACTCGTCGTGTGGTTTCCTCCTTACAACCTGTGCTTGAGGCTCTTCCAGTTTAACTTAGGAGCAGCCCTTCTTTTCTGCATTTCCTAGTTGTCAGCATTCACGGGGCCTTTCCAGGTGGCGCGAGCTGTAGAGATCCTGCCTGCCAATGTGCGAGATAACGAGATGTGGGTTTGATCCCTGGGTCGAGAAGATGCCCTGGAGGAGGGCATGGCAGCCCACTCCAGTATTCTTGCCTGGAGAATCCCATGGACAGAGGAGCTAGCGGCCTACACTCCCTGGGGTCGCAATGAGTCAGACACGACCGAAGCAGTTTAGCACACACTCAGGCTTTAGTTCAGTCGCTCAGTTGTGTCCAACTCTTTGCCACTCTGTGGACTGCAGCACTCCAGGCTTTCCTGTCCTTCAGTATCTCCTGGAGTTTGCTCAAACTCAAGGCCATTGAGTCAGTGATGCCATAGAACCATCTCATTCCTGTTGCATCCACCAGAGTGGTGGCTGGGGCTCGGCAAAGTGCATGGTCCCACTGCGTGGGTGTGCACCTGCCCTCACCACTCCCTGACCGCGTGACCATCACTGTGTCCTCCTCTGTAAATCGGGAGGTGGCAGCCCCTGCTTGGGAAGGGGCACACCCAGCATCTGGTATATAATCAATGCACCATCCATCTCAGCGTTGTCTTTACTAATAATAGGGACAGCATTTAATAAGCTGCTCCTTTTTCTCTCGTGTGTCTTAACTGTGGTCCAGACCACATCTGTTTTACTTACCCCTGGGTGTATATCCCACACCCAGCACAAACAAGATACTGTACAAATATCTGGCTGAAGAGGCAGGAACATACCCTGTCCTCAAGGAGGTGAAGCCGAGAGAGATGGGGGCCTGATGCTCATGCTGGGTGATGAGGAGACCCCAGGAGGACCTGTGTGACTGTGGGGGTCGTGGGCAGAACCCCTGAGGAGCTCCTGGGGACGAGGAAGGTGGCAGGAAGGAGGAGGAGGGCTGCTCCTCGTGGGATGTGCACAGATTGGACCTCACCCCTCACTGATGAGCACTTAGGCCGTTTCCAAACACTTGTCAGTGTTCTGGAGGAGTAAATCATTGCCCAGCTCCTACTCAATCAACTTCATAGAATATGTTTCTAGCGTTGGAGTATAAACATCTGCTTTATTCATTCCATGCTTCGTTCATCCACCCATCGAGCCAGCCATCTCTTCAACCATCCATACACTCACTAGTCCATATTCCACCCACTCACGAATTCTGTCGACCCATCAAGCCAGTCATCTGTTCATCCATCCATCCACTCACTAATCCATCCATCCATCCACTCACTAATCCATCCATCCATCCCTCTAGACATAATTCATCCACACATCCACTCATTAACTCATCAGATCATCTTGGACCCACCAAGAAGACGGATGCCTCCTCCACTCTTGCTCCCAGGAGGACCCCGAGTGTGAGTGACAGGAGCCTCGTGGGGCAGGGGGGGAGACACAGAAGGGACAAGCCTGCAGGTTCTCTTCCCTCTCAACGGGGAAGCACCCACCTGGTCCTAAGGCCTCCTTGCCGGGTGTCCAGGCTGGCCCTTTTCCTTCTTTCCAAACAAGCGGCCGATGCACGACTTGATGCCCTTCTTCGGGGCTTTGTGCAGCGAGTCCTGGCTGATGGTGCTGCTGCTGGGGTTGCCCCCGGGGCCGTCCTGAGAGCCGGTCGAGATTCGGGGAGCGAGAAGGACCTTTAACCAGCGGCCTCGTGCAAACACACACCCCTCCTCAAGATCTACTGTTAGAACCGGCCACCCAGCAACACCCGCGCCTCAACCTCAAGCACACAGTGGAGGCTGCTTCACCAACCACACTCCACACAAGCAATGCAGGCTCCCGGCCACAGACATCCGCCCCAGGAAGCTGAGAGTCTCCGACTGGAGCCCCCCCCCCCACCCCGGGGAGGGCTTGACTCCAGGCCAGCTGGTGCAGAGGGTGCTCCGACCCTCCCTCAGGTTCGCCGCTTGGCAGGTGACGAGGCTCCCAGAGAAGGCAAGCTCCCCCGCTCCGGGCAGCTCCACCCCACCTCTGCAGGGTGGCCGTCCCCGGCCGTGGCAGGAGAGCTGCTGCACAGGAGACCACACGTGCCCTCCATTGAGTGCTGCCTGGCTGAGGACGGGAGCTCAGCAGGCGGTGGTCTGAATGAGGACAGTGTCAGTCACAGGAGGGGATGGAGTCTCCTGAGAGGAGACCCTTGAGGAAAAGGGAGGGACCCTCAAGAGGGAACACGAGAGGCACGGGGCCATCACCCTCGGGAACGCGCCCTGGGCGGGGCAGACCTCTAGCAAGAGCAGGAAGAAAGCTCCCACAGCGGGGTCAATCCGTAGAGATGGACGTTTTCTAAAATCAGTGAGGCCACTGAGCTCTTCTCCCACAGCACCTGAAGTTCACCACTAAACACAGGCACCGAACCCAGTGGGATTCCTTTAAAATCATCCTTCTAACTCTTTCAAGAGAACAGGTGCAGGGCTCCTGAAACTGACGACGAGGCGCGCAGACCCCTTACTTGCAGGTGTCCCTGACGTCCTCTGGGCTGGCTGCGCGCAGCACCCCCGTGTGCAGCCGGTCCAGCCAAAGGGACCGCGGCGAGGCAGGGCTCGAGGCTTCACATTGGATGGCAGTCTTGTCATCTTCTACCTCTTCCATTAAAGCTGGCAGCTGAGTGAGACAGGTGTAAAATGGCAGTGTAAAACTGGCTAATGATAGACTGTGTTGAAAAAGGCAACCTCACAGGCTTTACATTATAACCAGAAACTTATTTGTAAATCTATTTGCTATGCTTTCCTCCAAGTAGCAAAAAACAAAAACAAAAACAAAAAACCCTTGTTCCAGCTTAGTGCCATCTTACAGGACTGTCTTGTTCAAGAGAAGCGGGGCATGGGGCAGCGAGAGCACCTGACTGAGTGCAGACACCCTGGACGGGAGCCTCCCTGAAGCCGGGCTCCGCCCTCCCTGGAATCCAGCGACCAGATGGCCCCGCCGGGCAGGAGAGCAGAGTGACGCCAGCACCGTGAACCCTGCATGGCATGAACTGCCCTGAAGAAAGGACTCTGCTCATCGCCAGATGCTGCTTCCACTAGCAAGAGGAAGAAACCTCTCAGCAAAGCCGTCCAGACCTCTCTGTTTGAAGAAAAAAAGGACACAGCTTGTGCCACCACCCAAGATCATTTGTTGTCATGATGCAGCCTACTGGAACCCAGGACAACAAGGGAAAGACAGAAAAGGTACCTAACCCGGCATGCGAACACCACGTGACTGGCTCATATTTCTCAGTAACGGACAGACTGGGGGCTACACGCTGAAGTGCTCCCTCGCAGTCCGAGTGTACTTTGCTCACTGTGGTTTACATAAAGCACCCCTAGGTCTTCACTAAGAGATGACCTTGTATGAGACTAGAGGGGTGGGATGGGGAGGGAGATTCAAAAGGGAAGGGGTATATGTATACCTACGGCTGAGTCATGCTGAGGTTTGCCAGAAAAGAACACAATTCTGTAAAGCAATTATCCTTCAATTAAAACATAAACCAATTGAAAAAAAAAAAAAACATGTTTCTCCTGGAGTCCCAGCTTTTCCGCTGGTCCTGGGTGTGAGGACAGGAGAGACAGTGGTGGTAACAGTGTGGGGAACAGATTAACCCCTTCAGGGTCCAGACAGGTCTCACTAGTACATTTGGGTGTGTGGTTAAGCCTGGGGAAGTTTCAGGAAACATGCATGGCAAGTATTTTTGTAAACAATGAGTGTGTTGTTTTAACCAACTAACCTGTGCCTTTTTAGTGGGATTCTCTAAAGAATACTGATCCACTGCAGCCCCACAGGAGCTTGGTGACAACAAAGTGACTTAGTGCAAAATACAGCTGAGCCCGTTTAACAGCAGCTGGATAAACTATGCACCCTCCCCTGATCTCCAATAAGAACCCTCAGACAACAGAAGGCTACAGAGGCTGGAAATGATCCCCACGGAACTGAACAGGGATCAGTCTCAAATTCAAGTTACAATAAGCCTTTATAAAAATCAGAAAACAACAAAAACAGAGTGGGAAATGACACGCCTGGGCTGACCGTGGACTCAGGGGAGACAAACACCTGCCTCAAAGTCAGGGACCGCAGCCAGCCCCTTCCTTCCCCGGGCCTCCTCCTGAGGAAGGCCTCTGGGTCCCCAGCCTGGCCGCCCGCCCCCAGGAGGGAAGCCCGCCACCCTGGTGCCCATGTGACTAGGATGGGCAGGACTGTGTCCTCACATAACAGGAGGGCACAGCAGGCCACAGAGCTGGTGAGCAGCACACCCAGGTCACCAGCCCCAGGGCACAGTGCTGCTCCGCAGTGCCCAGCAGAAGGGCTCCCGGGCACTGAGCTGCCTGAACTGGAGCGCGGCTGCCCGAGTCCTGCGGGAAGGTCCCAGGAGTGGTCGGTCAGTGGGCTGGGAGTGGGAGAGGGACAAGGACGGCCAGCCTTCGGGGCACTGGACTCAACAACAGGGGCTCATCCAAGGGACCCGAGGGGAGAGGCAGCGAGCTCCCTCCTGATGCTCCCTCCATCAGGGATGCCGTGAGGGACACGAGGGCCTCTGGAGGAAAGCGGGCTGGACGGCAGCAGGGTTAAGTGTCCAGGCTCTCATCAGACCAGTCCGCACCACACTGCTGGCTGTGCGAGCCTGGGCACAGGGCCCGGCCTCTCTAAGCCTCAGTGTCCACGTCTGCTGAATGGGGATGACAGCAGCCGGGACCTCACCTGGGTGTCTGCCAGATGAGATGACAGGCTCGGAAAGCACTCGACAAGCTGCCTGGTGCACAGAGGCTCCTGCACACTGCTACCCCCGTCATTAGACTGGCATCCCGCAAAGCTACCGCCTATGGCTCGGATTCAGCCGTTTCTTTGAATGGAAATTTCCACACTGAGTGGAAATTCCACTGTGGTCCAGACGTTAGGACTTGGCACTCTCACTGCCGGGACACCAGTCTGGTCCCTGGTTGGGGAATTAAGATCCCATAAGCTGTGCAGCATGGCAAAAAAAATAACTAAAGAAAATTTTAAAAATAATCCTTTGTCTATTATAAATAAGCATGAGTTGATTAGAAGGTAAACAAGTGGGAGAAAGGCAAACTGTTACAAGTGTCCCCGAATGACCTATTACCAAGAGAACCATCAGCATATTTCAACTGGTGGATGAGTTTCAAAACTTCCATTAGTGTCAATTATTCACCAGTACATAACCACATAGTGTTCATTCATGTAACACGATAAGGACTCTTTAATACTTCACAGAGAAACAAAGGCATGCTATATTATTAAATAGTTAACCTTTCGACGATGCTTCCTTAAATCACTAGGCTGAAAGGTGCATGCAAAGAAATGAACAGAAACCAGATGGATTGCAACTTTGATACTAAAAGTGCAAGAATTGTTACAGGCAAATACAGTAAAGCAAACATGAAGGCAAACATATGTGAGATGAAGACTTAAGAGAACATGTAACTGGAAACAGAACATATTTTTTAACCACAGAAGTGAAATAAGCTATTCAAGGTTTACTAGAGAAACACTATAAATTATAACTCAGGAAGATACCATTCTATTACAATATCATGATTTATTAAAGCAGAGCATTCTGTTCAACAAAGGGCCTTAAGAGTTGTCTGTTCTCAGCCACAATTCGCTATAACTTAGTTTCTCTTAATAGAAAACACGTTATACTTTAAAGGAGTAATTTCACTGATTAGGAAGTTACCATAATACCTATTTTAAACCTGAACAAATCTAACCAACTATTGGACATTAATGTAAAATCCTTACCTAGAATTTGATATAAAACTTTTCAGAATAAATCCATTAAAGCAGGTATCCCACGAAAATTTGTAAGGAAAGCTAGCATAATAGCAAGTGGAATCTTCACATCTTATGAACCATAAATGATACTTTGTAAAAGAGTCTAGTAGAGACATTAAACATGCAAAAGCTGATGAGATTTACCGTCTAAACTCCAAGCATCAACACAGAAAGGATATTGGGTCAAAAGACCATTAATTATACATTTAGAGGATCATTTCTCCATGTAAGCATAATCTCACTTATGATTACACAGGTTATGTAGTGGATGATCCACCTACACAATGCTTCTAACTGTACAGTGATACACTCACTCTAACTTACTGCTATGCAGGAAAAACACCATCTAATGAGACACGAAGACAAACCACAAACCAGACTAACAGGACACAGCACTGATATGACCAGAGCAAGTGGGAGGATGGGGGAGGGGAAACGGATGTGTGAACTACAGCCTCCGTTGGGAGGGATGGGAGGCTGGGGTCTGGATTGATGACGGCTAAACAGACAACAGGATGAGTCAGGAAATCAAAACCAATGATGAAAGCAGACACACCGTCAGAAAACTCCACAAGGAAAAAATATTCAGGACTGCTCTTTCACAAATACTCGGAAAGAAATCAAGCATGAAACCACAGAGAAATCGTCCAAGAATTTTAAATATCAACGACTTAGACAATGATACAAAGTATAAAAGCAGCGTGTCAAAAGACCACAAAATGGACCAGGTACCACTTCACATGCAGCTAAAATGACCCACATTTATTTTAATTCTATGCTAACAACACAGCTAACATGAAATGGGTGGTAACAGAAAAAAGGGATAATACAAGTGCAGTTTCAAGGCAGAGTGTTGTACACATGATTCAAGGGGTAAACAGCAATGCACTCAGAAACCTAGGCTACACAGGCAAGAAAGCTGGCACATGTGCTTTAGAGCTGCACACTCTGTCACCAGAAGCCCTAGGTCGTCATCCCGTGTTGAGACGCGGAAGAGTGAGGCAGCCCGACTTCTTCCCTGGGGCCCTGGGGCCCCGGGGCCTTTAAATGGTTTCACGTGCACAGCTGGCCTGAGCACATGGCAAGGCCCGTCAGCAAGCGGACCAGTTCAGATTCTTGGTTTTGTTGCCACCGCATGCCCTGCACCCTGCAGCCAGGCGACCCCGGTGGAACATGTGCTGCCCGCCTTTTACTCGCCATGAGGGCTGCCTGTGGTAACTTTCACGAGGCTGTCTGCTCCCTGACGACAGAAACTTCCCTGCCGCTGTTGTGCCCAGCACAGGCCAGGCCCACCGTTCCAGAGGCAGGCTCTGGCTGAGTTCACGATGGCTTGCTAAGCCGCTGGTCCAAATATCAAGACTGATTGGTCCCTGTGCCATTATGGAATGATTAAAGACCAGGCAGTTTCGCAAGTCTTAGACTTCTGAGCGTAGCAAATGTACCTGATTTTCTCTGGGGAAAAAGAGAAAAAACAGAGAAAGAAAAACAGTGTGCTTGGGGAGGCATGTGGCAGGGAAGAGGCAGGCATATACCGGAGTCATGACGTCCAGCTGGTCTCCCTCGCGCGCCAGGCTGTGCCACCTCCTTCGGGGACGGGAGCGCTCCCTGCTGGGCGGGCAGGAGCCAGCAAGTGAGGAGGCAAGACACAGGTTGAGGGAGCTCAGTGACTTAAAACGCTGGGAGTTTCTGGTTGGAGGCCATTTGCTGGCTCCTGTTTTGGGTCGTCTGTTCTCCCAGAGGCTCCTGGAGCCGGCCACCTGGACTGCGCCGCACGTGGGCTTAGAAGGCCAAACGCCCCTGGCCCTGGGACAGCCTCTTCAATCGAGGGGAAGCCGGCCTGGTGCGAAGATCATGTCCTCTTAATTTGGCCATGCACGACCCTGGTTTGGTCTTTCTTCTTTTTTCGGGAGAAGGGCTTTCCTTTGTGGAGACATGGAACTGCCCCCACAGCCCCTCCTCCAAACCTCCCCTCCTTCGTCCCCCACCCCCAGCCCTGTTGGTAGTGTTGGTTAATGAGCTGGTTTGACTCACTAAGTCCTTTCATTTTGGGTCCCGGCTCCCAAGGGGTGGGTGATGCCAGGGACAACTCCTTTCTTGGGTGAATTTTTCATTTGAATCATGCAGCTTAGTCATCCCGTGGCGAAGGCCAGGGCAGCTGCAGGTGCCCACTGTCAACAGCCTGCCTCCCGGGCAAGGTGGGGCTGCCATGCCTGGGACTGAGCTGGTGCCCACCTAAGGGCTCAGGCTCCTGCCAATGCCCATGGCATTTGCCCTGCAGAGCTGCAGGGGTTGGGGCGGGGGTGATGTCAGGGATCAGGGTGATGTGGTAATGATGCACCCCTCCCCTCACCCCGTTGATTTAAAGCTGTTTCCAAACAGTTGAGTCTCTCCTGAAGACGAAGCCTTGTCCCGAAAGGCCCACTGAGACAGCTGGATCTTGGAGACAATTACGAGCTGGGAGCCCAACTCCTGACTGCCTGCTGATTCTGCCACTGATCATTTGCAGCTGCTTGTTTCGGTCTCCACCTTCAACCCCAGTGGCTGAAAAAGCCCATGATGTGTCGCTTAATTTTCTTTCTGATTCTCCCAGATCGGTGGCTGGGGGCTTGGGAGAGGACCCAGAGAAGGGAGCTAGCCACCTGCAATCCCTCTGGCTTTGGGGAACAAAGACTGATGTGAAGGCCCACAGAGAATTCTCTCTTCCAGTCTCAACCCCTTCAAGGGTGGCTGGAAGGGGAGGCAGGGGGCCGTTTTACATAGGATTAGCTTCCAGGTGGCTGCCATTTCAGCACAAGCAGTACTGAAATTCACATAAAAAAGAGAGAGCTGTGAAACCGAGGTCCGGAGTTAATAGGCCCTGCAGCGAGCCTGCGGGCCCGTGGTGCTTGCGAGAACGAGGGCCTGCCCCAAGCTGGGAGCATGGGCCTCAGCTGCGCCCCGAGGCTCATGCTGAGCTGCTCCCAGCACCGCAGGCCAGATTTACCTGCCGCAGGGCTGGAAGGAACCTGGCGGGGACCTCGCGTGCAGCGCCTCTTCTCCACGGGAGTTGTCACACAGCCTGTCTCTGCAGATCCTGCTGCCGTGTGGGACCCAAGGTAGGCGGCCGGTGGGGGCGTCGGGGCCCCGGCAGCACGGGAGGCTTGGGGGGGGTGCTGTTGGGGGGCCGAGTGTCAAGAGCCGGGACCCAGGGGTCTGGAGTTGCTCCTTCGTGGGCCTTGCTGGGCCTGACACTGAGGGAAGGCGCACTCGCGGGATTGCAGTTTTGTGTGTTTCCTTCTCTCTCTCCATATTTATTTTTTTAATTTATGGAGGCGGTGCAAATTTCAGGAATGGTTGGGGACTAAAGAAAGAACTCTCTAGCTCCATCCATGTGAAGCCTGGCGAGGTCTGCTCCTCTGCACTGGTCATCAGCATTGTGTAAAGAGACTGATACACTTGAGTGTGCAAGCAATGAAGCCGTTCGACATGCTGCTACGAAGACTAATTTGAGCACAATTTTAAAAAAAGGGAAAAAAACTAACCTACAAAAAAAAACCCCACCCTTTATTCTTTAATTGTTGCTTTTACAGTGATATTGTGCATGCAAACTAGGAGCATTTTGTGTCTTAAGAAAAATAATCTGAGAACAGATGGCTGTGAAAATTACACCCGTGCACAGAACAAGTCACAGGAATAATAGTTCAGTATTTGGTTTTTCTCTTTTTTCTTGTAAAACCTGAAGGGTTGATATATTCTTTCCATACAGTTATTAGAACTTAGTTTTGTTCTAGCAGTTGTGAAACTTGCAATGAAAAGGAAATGTGCCATTTTTTTTGCCCACTTGGAACTATTCTTAGCTGTATATTTGAAACTGCTAATAACACACGAGCGACGTATGCTGGTTTTTTAGTGCAATTTCTTCTGTAGCTATTCTTTGACCAAACTGTGGGTATTGTTAATATTAATTTATATTTGTCTCATTTTTGTATGTATGCATAGCGTGGTTGTAAGTATGTGTGGTTTATAATCTAAAAAGGTCATAAAGCTCAGTTTGGCTGTAATTTAATTCCCTTCTCTTTATTTTTATTTATTTTTGTACTGTGCTGATTAAATAAAATGCACTGACCAAAAAAAAACAAACAAACAGACAAAAAAAAACGCCAAAGGCTGCAGAAGCGTGCTCCGCCCACCCTGCTCTCAGTCTCCTCGGCCCGCTGCTCCATGCTCTCCCTTTCCTCCTGGAGCCACCTAAAAGAGACCAAAACTCGTGAGCTGCCTTTGTCAGCACAGCATCGTGTCTGGACAACAAATTTGGGCTGGCATTCTGTGTCACAATGAGCAAATTCCAGGAATATCTGCTCATTTCACATCTCGGCTAAAAGGTTCGACTTTCCCTCTTTTGAATATTCTCAAACTTGGAATAACTTGGCACTGAGTCTTACAAACTGGCCCCTGGTCATTCACGTTTGATTTGACTCGTTTACGCTAACATTCTGACGGGGCCTGTGTGGCGACTCTCTCCCTGTGAGGAGATACCTGAAGCTGACAACCTTAACCTTCCCTGCTCTCAGGGCAGAGGTGCACGTCAGTGCCTCAAGTCTTCTCCACTGGGAATCGGGAACTCTCTATAACCAACACAGCGATTCACAAACAAGCTGGAGTTTCTAAACAAAACTCCCCAGACCAGATGAAGTGCTGAGGGGATTTTTACTTTTTTAAGGATGTATGTGTAACAACGCATCACTTGATGAAATTCTCCACCAGCTGTGTGTGAGTTTCTGGATTCATGTCAATCTGCCGCATTAACCTAGAATTCACGCTTACTGTTCTTCTCCCCTAATGTGTAGTGGATGATTTTATATAGCAGTTGAAATACACAATGATGCCTATAAAATGATTTCCAAATTAAAACACGGGATTCCTGCAGGTCATAACATCTTCAGCTTCATTCTACGTAAAAGTCTTGAAAGTTTTTCACTTGTGATAGCAAGCTGATGGACACAATTTACTATTCATAAAAGAAGTCAACTTACTGCCTAAGGAAAATTCACTTTACCTGAAAACTTGCTGTAATAAAAAAATATTAATATGCAACCGTTCCATATTACCTGCGGGGACAGGGAAAGCCCATCTTTCTGAGCTAATCTGAGCTGAAACAAGGCCAAGGAGGCAGTCTGTCTCGGCATCAAAAGTGCAGGTGGCACCACCTGCATTTGCTGGCTGTGCCATTCTCGGCTGCCCTCCCCCCGAGCCCCACGTGCTCGGCACACAGAACCGGGCATCTCGGCCTGGGCTGACGTGAAGACAACAATCTAAGCAGCACCTCTGCCTGCTCCTGCACATGGTCACCGGCCTGTGACCGCTCTGCACGTGGAACCGGGACAGGGGCTCAGCTGTGCGGGTGTGGCCCAGGAAGGCCTCGGGGCCCCCGGACACCCAGCTACACCCAGACCCAAGACCTGCTGCTCATCACCAGGCAGACCTTTGCCTTCTATCTCGAGCTGTAAACTGTTACAACTGAGAAGACAGTGTCTAAAGAAAATATCTTAAATATCCTGATGAGATGAAAAAAGCTCAAACACATGTTTTGGGCCACTGTCTTACAACAAGCCAATCTTCACACTGTATTAACTTGAAAAGGACAATGCAGATCTGAATGGGAATTTGCCAACACCAAACCCCTGCTTTTCTGTTCCAGGTAGCTTTTCACCAGAACGTGGGAGTCTCCGATGGACACGGGAGGGTGAACTCTCAGTGCTGGAGGGCACACGGGACGCAGAGGACACTGCCTCGGCACCTCACCCACCTTGGGGCTCAGAGCTGGGGGGGGGACACCCCACAAAGCCCCCCCACAGAGTGCTGACACCAGCTGTGGACAGAACGGCCTGCCTGTCTGAGCTCTCTCATCAAGGGTGGTCTGAGAACTGAAAATCCTTGAAGCAGGCCTGAAGTCAGTTTTCTCACTATGGAAGACTCAAGACTTCTCGTAGGAGAAGACAGCTCCTCAGAGAAGCCCAGTTTCTGGGGAGCCGAGTTCGGGCACACCCACCGGGTCTCCTCACTGATGGTGTCCAGCTGCTCCCGAGGCATCACAGGCAGAGTGTCGGCATCGGCCTGCCCACTGGGCGGCAGCTGACCGGCCGAGCTGAAGAGGGTGACCCTGTCGCCCTCGCCGTCAGACACATCCTCGTCACTCTCGAAGTCCTGGGCCATGGTGGCCACCACGCGGGTCTGCTGCGCGGACTCCCAGTCCTGCTCCCTCTGGCTCTGCACCTGGGCATGAGAGGACCACGGCTGGTCAGCGACATTCAGGACAGCTCACGTCTATCAGGAACCGAACACAATTTTACATGGAAGCCCGACTTTGGATAAACGGCCATGCCTATGAGACACTGCCATCTCTTAAGCGAGCAGTACTGAAGAAATGGGCTGGAGGAGAATCTAGTTCCTAGATGGCCTGCTGACACTCAGGTCAGCGTGGACGGAAGGCAATCCTATCAGGTTATTCACAAGAGTGCGCTGACGGAGTCAGGGACAAAAACGCAAAATTGCAAACATACATCCATGCCTCCATCAGGCAGGCTGAAGGAAAATAAGAAGGAAAAAATCCTTCCGCTCCACAGCCGCTGGGTCCGCCTCAGCGGTCGTCACTTGTACTAGTTCCCCGAGGAGTGCCGTCCTCCCAGGTTCCCAGCCCTACGTGTTCCAGGCTGGCCCGAACACGCAGAGAGAGGAGCGAGCAGGGGCAGCCAGGGAACTGGAGGGGAGCCCTCCGCGGCTGTCCTCTCGGGGCACAGGCACTCGGGCTCTGCTGGGGGATAGCCCCTCGCACCGCAAGGGCGGCTCTGCCATCAGAGATGCACGGGAGTGTGCCTGCTGGGCCCTGGGCCGCCCTCCCGCTCTCACACCTCACACCCTTCTCTCTGCAAATCTCCCCCCTGTCCGACTCTCAACCCAGGTCCTGCCTTCTTTCCCACACATGACCTCAAAGCAACTGAGGGGCAGCCTCGAGGTGCTGGCTGCCGGCTACCTGGCCCCCGTGGCCAGAGCCCTCGCCCCCTGACTTCCTCACAACCCCTCCCCAGGGCTGGGCTACCCCCTTCGCTGGCAGCAAGACCACCTGCCACCATCCCTGCTCCCCTCCAGCGCACCAGCTGCCTATGGGTTCACCCCTAGCAGCCCGGTCAGCACATCCTCTCGCTTCTCTCGCCTTCAAATGGCACAACGGGAACCAGCAGACTCCTCCTCCAGGGCACTCTGCAGTGCCCACTGGGGGTCTCTGAAGGCTGCCTGGGAGAGGCATCTGCTGTCCATACAGCGTATGATCCATCTACATTATGCTTTTAACTGTATAGTGGTGCACTAACTCTAACTTACTGCTATGCAGGAAAAACACCATTCAATGAGACACGAAGACAAACCACAAACCAGACTAACGGGACACAGCACTGATATGACCAGAGCGAGTGGGAGGATGGGGAGGGGAGATGGATGTGTGAACTACAGCCTCCGGTGGGGGGGATGGGAGGCTGGGGTCTGGATTGATGACGGCTAAACAGACAACACGATGAGTCAGGAAATCAAAACCAATGATGAAAGCAGGCACACCGTCAGAAAACTCCACAAGGAAAAATTATTCAGGACTGTTCTTTCACAAACACTCCGAAAGAAATCAAGCATGAAGCCACAGAGAAATGGCCAAGAATTTTAAATATCAACGACTTAGACAATGATACAAATTATAAAAGCAGTGTGTCAAAAGACCACAAAATGGACCAGGTACCACTTCACATGCAGCTAAAATGACCCACATTTATTTTAATTCTATGCTAACAACGCAGCTAACATGAAATGGGTGGGAACAGAAGAAAGGGATAATACAGGTGCAGTTTCAAGGCAGAGTGTTGTACACGAGATTCATGGGGTAAACAGCAATGCACTCAGAAAACTAGGCTACACAGGCAAGAAAGCTGGCACATGTGCTTTAGAGCCGCACACTCTGTCACCAGAAGCCCTAGGTCGTCATCCCGTGTTGAGACGCGGAAGAGTGAGGCAGCCCGACTTCTTCCCTGGGGCCCTGGGGCCCCGGGCCTTTAACTGGTTTCATGCGCACAGCTGGCCTGAGCGCGTGCGGCAAGGCCCATCAGCAAGCGGACCAGTTCAGATTCTTGGTTTTGTTGCCACCGCATGCCCTGCACCCTGCAGCCAGGCGACCCCGGTGGAACATGTGCTGCCCGCCTTTCACTCGCCATGAGGGCTGCCTGTGGTAACTTTCACGAGGCTGTCTGCTCCCTGACGACAGAAACTTCCCTGCCGCTGTTGTGCCCAGCACAGGCCAGGCCCACCGTTCCAGAGGCAGGCTCTGGCTGAGTTCACGATGGCTTGCTAAGCCGCTGGTCCAAATATCAAGACTGATTGGTCCCTGTGACATTATGGAATGATTAAAGACCAGGCAGTTTTAAAACTCTTAGCCCTCTGAGCATAGTAAATGTACCTGATTTTCCTCTGGGGATAAAGAGAAAAAACAAAGAAAGAAAAACAGTGTGCTCGGGGAGGGATGTGGCAGGGAGGAGGCAGACACATACCGCAGTCATGATGCCCAGCCGGTCTCCCTCGTGCGCCAGGCTGCGCCGCCTCCTTCGGGGTGGGGAGGGCGCCCTGCTGGGCGGGCAGGAGCTGGCAAGTGAGGAGGCAGGACACAGGTTGAGGGAGCTCAGGGACTCAAAACGCCGAAGGCTGCCTAAGCGCGCCCTGCCCGCCCTGCTCTCAGTCTCCTCGGCCCGCTGCTCCGTGCTCTCTTCCTCTTGGATCCACCTAAAGGAGAGCAAAACTCGTCAGCTGCCTCTGTCAGCACAGGAACCTGTCTGGACAGCAAATTTGGGCTGGCATTCTGTGTCGCGATGAGCCAATTCCGGGAACATCTGCTCATTTCACATCTCGGCTAAAAGGTTTGACTTTCCCTCTTTTGAATATTCTCAAACTTGGAATAACTGAGCACTGAGTCTTACAAACTGGCCCCTGGTCATTCACGTTTGATTTGACTCCTTTACGCTAACATTCTGATGGGGCCCGAGTGGCGACTCTCTCCCTGTGAGGAGATACCTGAAGTTGACAACCTTCACCTTCCCTGCTCTCAGGGCAGAGGTGCACGTCAGGGCCGCAAGTCTTTGCCACTGCAAATCGGGAACTCTCTATAACCAAAACAGCGATTCATGAACAAGCTGGAGTTTCTAAACAAAAGTCCCCAGACCAGATGAAGTGCTGAGGGGATTTTTCTTTTCTTACGGTTGCATATGTACAAATGCATCACTTGATGAAGTTCTCCACCAGCTTTGTGCGAGTCTCTGGATTCATGTCAATGTGCCGCATTGACATAGAATTCACCCTTACTGCTCTTCTGCCCTAATGTGTAGTGGAGGATTTTAAATAGCAGTTGAAATACTCGATGATGCATATAAAATGACTTCCAAAATAAAATACAGGATTCTTGCAGGTCATAACCTCTCCAGCTTCACTTCTACCTATAAGTCCTGAAAGTTTTTCACTGGTGATAGCAAGCTGATGGACAGGATTTGCCATTTATAACAAGTCAACTTACTGCCTAAGGAAAATTCACTTTACCTGACAACTTGCTGTTCAAATAAAAATACTAACATGGAACCGTTCCATCGTTCCTGCGGGGATGGGGAAAGCCCATCTTTCTGAGCTCGTCTGAGCTGAAACAGGGCCCAGGAAGCAGTCTGTCTCGGCGTCAAAAGTGCAGGCGGCACCACCTGCATTTGCTGGGTGTGCCGTTCACCCCTGACTTTCCCCCGAGCCCCGCGTGCTCGGCCCGCAGGCACGGGCACCTCGGCCTGGGCTGACGTGACGAGAACAATCTGAGCAGCAGCTCTGCCTGGTCCTGCACAGGGTCACCGGCCTGCGGCCACTCTGGACGTGGACCCGGGACAGGGGCGTAGCTGTGCGGGTGTGGCCCAGGCAGGCCTCGGGGCCCCCGGACACCCGGCTGCACCCAGACCCAAGGCCCGCTGCTCACCACGAGGCGGGCCTTTGCCTTCTATCCCGTGTTGTAAACTGTTACAACTGCCAAGACGGTGTCTAAAGAAAACATCTGAAATATCCTGATGAGATGAGAGAAACTCAAACATATATCCTTGGACCACTGTCTTACAACAAGCCAATCTTCACACTGTATTAACTTGAAAAGGACAATGCAGATCTGAATGGGAATTTGCCAACCCCCAAACCCCTGCTTTTCTGTTCCAGGTAGCTTTTCACCAGAACGTGGGAGTCTCCGATGGACACGGGAGGGTGAACTCTCAGTGCTGGAGGGCACACGGGACGCAGAGGACACTGCGTCGGTACCTCACCCACCTTGGGGCTCAGAGCTGGGGGGGACACCACACAACGCCCCCCCAGAGAGTGCTGACACCAGCTGTGGACAGAACGGCCTGCCTGTCTGAGCTCTCTCGTCAAGGGTGGTCTGAGAACTGAAAATCCTTGAAGCAGGCCTGAAGTCAGTTTTCTCACTATGGAACACTCAGACTTCTCATAGGAGAAGACAGCTTCTCAGAGAAGCCCAGTTTCTGGGGAGCCGTGTTCAGGCGCACCCACCGTATCTGTTTGTTGATGGCGTCCAGGTGCTCCTGAAGTTTCACAGGCAGAGTGTCGGCATCTGCCTGCCCACTGGGCAGCAGCTGACCGGCCGAACTGAAGAGGGTGGGCCCATCACCTTCGCCATCAGGCACATCCTCGTCAGTCTCGAAGTCCTCGGCCACGGTGGCCACCACGCGGGCCTGCTTTGCGGACTCCCAGCCCTGCTCCCTCTGGCTCTGCACCTGGGCATGAGAGGACCACGCCCTGTCAGCGACATTTAGGACAGCTCACGTCTATCAGGAACCGAACACAATTTTACATGGAAACCCGACTTTGGATAAGCGGCCATGCTTAGGAGACACTGCCATCTCTTAAGCGAGCAGTACTGAAGAAACGGGCAGGAGGAGAATCCAGTTCCTAGATGTCCTGGTCACTCTCAGTTCTTAGCGTGGACGGAAGGAAATCCTATGAGGTTATTCAAAAGGGTGGGCCGATGGAGTCAGAAACAAAAACGCAAAATTAAAAACATACATCCATGCCTCCAGCAGGCAGGCTGAAGGAAAACATGAAAGAAAAAATCCTTCAGCTCCGTAGCCAATAGGTCTGCCTCAGCGGTCATCACTTGCACTAGTTCCCCGAGGAGTGCCATCCTCACAGGTTCCCAGCCCTACGTGTTCCAGGCTGATCTGCACACTCACAAACAGGAGCGAGCAGGGCAGCCAGGGGACTGGAGGGCCAGCCCCCGCGGCTGTCCTCTCGGGGCACAGGCACTCGGCCTCTTCTGGGGGAGAGCCCCTCGCACCGCAAGGGCGGCTCTGCCATCAGAGACGCACGGGAGAGTGCCTGCTGGGCCCCGTGCCGCCCTCCTGCTCTCACACCCTTCTCTCTGCAAATCTCCCCCCTGTCCGACTCTCAACCCAGGTCCTGCCTTCTTTCCCAGACAGGACCTCAAAGCACCTGAAGGCCAGCCTCGAGGTGCTGGCTGCCAGCTACCAGTCCCGTGGCCAGAGCCCTCACCCCGTCTTCCTCACGACCCCTCCCCAGGGCTGGGCCACCCCCTTCACTGGCTGCAGGACCACCTGCCATCATCCCTGCTCCCCTCCAGCGCACCAGCTGCCTATGGGTTCACCCCCATCAGCCCGGTCAGCACATCCTCTCGCTTCTCCCACCTTCCGATGCCTCAACAGGAACCAGCGGACTCCTCCTCCAGGGCTCCCTGCAATGCCCACTGGGGGTCTCTGAGGGCTGCCTGGGAGCGGCCTCTGCTGTCCCTGTCCCGCCTGCTCTCCAGCTCTCTGCAAGCAGGCGCTGTGCCCTGCCCTACCGGGCAGCTCCCCGGGAGCTGGAGGAGCCCATGTCACCAAGCCCACTCCCCTCCTTGCCCAGCCCGCCGCCCTCCAACATGTCTCTCCCTGGCTCTAGGCCCGGCCCTCCCTGGGGTTATTCCTCAGGCCCTTGCGCCCCTTTTCAAAGATAAATAACATCTGATGTCCACCACCACAGCCTTCATACTTTGTGAAAATGAAAGTATACAAATGACGAATCCTTAACTGAAATTACACGATGACTGATCAAACTTACCTCTCTGTGTTTGGTACTTAATTCCTCTTCTAAGGAACTACACCTTTGAAGTGTTCGTCGTAGTTCCTCTCTCAACTGAAATAAAAGGGGCCGAATCACTGTGTGTTGATCTGTGTACATACGTTAGTGCACTTCTTATTGTACCCTCACATGATTGCATGGTTACTGTAACAGAACACCTTTAATGTCTCTCATTGACCTTAAGGTGAAGAAAATCTGCTTACTAACGGCTTTAAACTCTAAGTTTCAGAATTTATCCTAAAAGAACTGTATTACCCAGTTTTTAATTGCAAATTGACAAACAGAATAAAATAAATCTTGAGACATTTATGCCAACTAATACTTTTTAACTGGGGGCTTCCCAGGAGGCTCAGTGAGAAAGAATCTGCCTGCCAGTGTGAGAGGGCAGGTTCGATCCCTGGGTTGGGAAGATCCCCTGGAGTAGAAGATGGCCACCCACTCTAGTATTCTTGCCTGGGAAGCCCCATGAAGAGAGGAGCATGGTAGTCTATGGTCCACAGGGTCGCAAAACTCAGACATGTCTGAGCATGTACACAGGCAATGCTTTTTAACCATATAAAACTCTGAGTTCTTATGGAAAAACTGTATTTACAAGAATTCAAGAAGCTCAAAAGTCAACTAGTTCCATAAACACACGCATCGTCCACCTAACCAGGCAGCAAGTGTACAAATCCAGGACGGCCGCGTGGCTGGTACCTTCTCGTCCAGGGCCTTGTGGTGCTCGAAGAGCAATCTCAGTGCCCTGAGGACCTCCAACTCGCTGGTCATGCTGGCTGGGGACCGCGCCTGATGCCTCTCCACCGTCATCTGGAGGGACGGCACGTACCGGGAAACCAGGAGCTCCAGGTGTTCCAGCAGCAGCTGCAAGGTGGGGCCAAAGGAGCACCTTCAACCTCACACTTGAATTCAGGGCCCAGAACGCCTCTCAGCCTCACGCTAAGACCGAAACCATGCTAAGGCATGTCGGAATCCCGCCAGTTCAGTCTAAAGTTAGAGTGGACTTCCCCAGTGGCCCAGGAGTTAACACTCCACACTTCTGCAGGGCTCATGGGTTTTAATCCCTGTGTGGGAACTAAGATCCCACACAAACTGCAGCATGGACAAAAATGGAAGCTAAGAGAACTCTCCCCTCAAATGTACTAAAATTACATTAGCTTTCATCATCAATTTGAAGCAAGGTGTGAGAAACCCGAACTGATCCACCTCGGTCTGCTCAGTGGGAGGATGTGAAAAATGACTTGAAAACCAGACTTTCAAGACAGCAACATGGAGACCAGCGGTGACCCCTGCGGGGCACAGGTCAACACGTGAGACTCCGCCTACTGACCCTGGTGTTGTTCCTTTCTGCTTTTAGTTCCGAGATTTCTGCTTCTCTTCTAAGAAGCTGCTCCCTGTATGTTTTTAGATGTCGACATGCCAACTCCTAGAAAACAGGTCAATGAGGAAGTAAATAAATGCAAACACAAATGTTAAAGAGAGCGAGACTCTGAAGACTGACACTGTCCAGTCTCTCCAGGCTCCACTCAAAGGATCTCCCTGCCCCTCCGGAGAAGAGGGGGCCCACTGACCCCAAGACCACACAGACCCCTACAACTCAGACTGGCCTGCAGCCTCCACCTCGACCTGGCAGGCACGTGGCAGGGGAGAACCTGGAATCCAAGCCTGTGCGGTAGGGGAGAACCCGGAATCCAAGCCTGCCTTCTCAAGACGCAGGGAAGTCTGAGAGACTTTCCTAAACATACACTTAAGAACAAAGTGGATAAAGAGATTCTTAAACAACACACAGACAAGTGACCGAGAGCCCCTGGGGAGAGTGAAGAAGAAAGGTAAGGTCTTCAAGGCCACCAGGCTTTGGAGTGTTCCTCTGGGAAAGAGGCTGATGGCACCCCAAGGCCGTCTGTTAGCCTGACTCCACTGAAGTCACCCAGTCATTCAACGAACTGCTTAAAATGGTAAATTCATGTTATATGTATTTTATCACAATATGCACATACGCGGGGCCGTCCACGTGGTGAACTTGCTCAAACCGAACCACACGGACTCTTTCATTCTTCTATTGTTCTTTGCACAAATACAAAAATCCTGGGCTATGTCTCCCCTACTACATACTAAGTATTCAGCACCTAGAGCACTGCCCAGCACTTTGTAAGAGGCATGTAGTAGACATGTGAGGCTGTGAGGGTGTGTGTCATACACAGGAGCAGTAGGCACCCGTCATTAGAACACCGGGCGCACTGCTCTGGGCTTTGGACGATGGCAGACGTTAAGGGGCTCAGCCTTTCTGCTCCAAGGACTGACTCTCTAGCTCGACCCACACGCCCCAGAGACTCCTCCAGCCAGTGGATCCCTTGTTTGGAAGAAGAGAGACTTTAAGGGGCTTAGCCTTTCCTTTCCGCTACAAGGACCGACTCTAGAGCTCAGTCCACGTGCCCCAGTGACTCCTCCAGCCCCTGTTCCCCTTCCTGTGGGGCCCCCGCCCATTGTCCACGCAGCATCTGCACGGCCTCTTACAAGGTCAACCTGCTGGGGTCCATCCTGCCCAGGAGGCCAGAACGCCTTGGCCGGCAGGGCCCACGAGCATGCGAACAAAGTAAAACACAACCCCAACTCTTTGCCGGGTGAGGGCCAACCCGACGGGCCCATCCCCCGGCTGCTCTCACCTCCGGGCACTCTGCTTCCACGACTTGGGATGAAGCCAACTTATTTCTTGTCTTGGCCTTTTTCTTGGGGTTGCAGCATGGGAAAAGTGCCCATAGGATGGCCCTTCTGCGACCCATCCTCGCGGATGGGGGCAGCCCCCCACTTGGGGGCACCTGCTGTTTCTCAGGCAGATCCCTAAGTGCCTGAGGTATCACTACCAATCTCACACTATGACCACTGCTCTCACACACCGCTCTCACACACACCACTCTCACACACACCACTCTCACACACACCACTCTCACACTGCTCTCACACTATGACCACCAGCTCCGCTATCTCAAGAAGAAATGACACGAAGGCTCTGCCTCCAGCACGTCACCCGGGAGCCCGGATCATGAAAGCCACTCTGTCACAAAGGGCTCCATGGTAACAGGGGGGCTGGGCTCCGGCCCACCATCAAGGGTGCAGAGAGTGGGGAGGGGCTGCCAAAAACATGGCAGGTGTGTGTTGGGTGCGGGAGAAGGAAGGCCGTGCCCACAGCTCAGGCCCACCATCAAATGTCACCCTGCAAGGTCACTGGGTCACAGTCAAACCGAACAGTATAAACTGCTTCAGAAACCACCACCGCTAGGGATGAGCACGTCTTCTAAGTGGGCTTCTGCTTCTTCCACCCCCGAAACAAGCCTGCAGTGAGGCTACTGAAAGGGCACCCCTGAACTCAAGGGTGTGCCCAGAACCCACATGGCTGAGGAGGACTCCCCGCACTGGCTTCCCCTCACTCTCACCCTGAGCTTGGTCCTCCCTGACTGGCTCCCTCACTTGAGCTCAGCAAGGGCTTGACCAACCTTGCTCTGGGCGCTTACAATGAACCCAGAGTGGGGACAGGGGTTCATTCAACCTGCTGTGAGCTCACCTTCTTAACTTCAACCCTGGGCCGCCAGACGACTTGGCCCCATGGGGACTGCATGGTGCAGGTTCAGGGGTGGCCCTGCCTCAAGCCGTGACAGCCAGCACCTCCCAGATCCCTCCAGGGGCTGCCCCGCCCTCCACGCGCAAGTCTCCCCCCCCCTCTCCTGACCCCACTCCCAGCCTCGCGGCTCTCCACACACCAGGGCATAGCCCACACTGCTCCTGGCTCAGCCTGGTCCTCTGCGGTCACTTGAGGACTCAGTCCCCGGGGTGCTTGAGGTCCTATATCCGCCTATCTCAGCAATGACAGACTCTGGGGAGACAGGGTACAGTTTGGGGTCCCACCCGCAGTGCACCCTGAACACGGTCTCTTTTTTTTTTTTTTTTTGCTTTATCTACTGCAGTTCTCTGAGACGTCTTTTGAAAACCTCAACTGTGGCTTTCAAAAAGACTGTAAAATCACTGTGCTCAACTTGAAGAATAAAATCTTCATTTTCAACCTTAAAGTGAAACTGGAGGGAAGATTAAAAGCAGTCATTTTTCAAACTGAAAAAGAAAACCCACAGGTGGCCCCATCACACAACAGGTCATGCAGCCCCGGTCTCCTCAGCTTCTCCTCCACCACCAGCAGCCCGTCATCGCAAGGCCTGCCCTGGGCTGGCAGGCGCAGGGGAAGCAGGCACACCGGCTCTTCCGTCCCCAGGCTGCGTGGGCTGCTTGCTCCACCTTCTTCCCAAATTCAAGTGGCACTGAAAGAGCATGGGCAAGCTGGGGATTCTGATCCGAAACACAACCGTGGGTACTAAGCAAGGACCCCTGCCTCTTGTTTTCCCGGTATCAAATAAAGATGATCAGTATAATTAGTGTGATGCTTACATGTGGCTTCAGATGAGAGAAGACACCCAGAGCTTCCCCACGTCCAGTTACAAACGCAAGCAGCTTGTAGGTCAGCCTACCCAGAGCTAGAAAAGCTAAATACATTTTAAAAGAGGTCCTCAGGCAGCCACAATCCAAGATCTCAAGCAAAAGGGAAGCCCAGTGAGGCAGCTGGAGACTGAGAGGCCGCTCCTTCCCCCGGGACATCTGAACAAAGCTGACTCTGCAAAGAAAAGGCGGGGGAACGTCCAGCAGAGGGGACTGGCTGACACAGCTCTGGACAGCTCCTCGGACTGGGAAGACAAACATATGAGCGTAGGCCTGACAAGTCAGTCCTGATGGTAGAGACCAGTCTCCCTAAGAAAAGTTAGGCACAGAAAACGTACCCAACACCCTGCCCAAACTGGCTGAGCACTGAGTATCAATCACCTCGTGGTCTTCAGGAGGTGGACGGTGGGATTCAGGACCTGCCTAAAAGGAGGGGCCCTGGGAGGCACCCCAGGCTTCCAGATGGAGATGCTGGAGGGCTCCTCCCTGGGGTCGGGTGAGGGGGGCGGGGAAAGTGGGTGAAGGCTGCTGAGACTCAGCTCACAAGGACCCCCTAGCCTCAAGTCACTCAGGCCCTGAGCGAACACAGAGCTCTGTCCCCACGAGAGGTCTACGTCAGAGGAAAGCCTGGAGAAGACAGCATCACTCAGCACCTCTAGGGCTTTCCAAACGTAGTACCCAACATGCAAACAACAAACCAAAAAAGGGTGTAACAACAAACAGGACCAACAGAAAAAGAACTGAAACAGATCCAGAGGGATCAGATGCATATCAGCATATCAGAGGTATGCTAGATGTATCAATTGCAAATGTCACCAGTTCAAAAAATATACTTGACCAAAGAAAAAATTTCTGAGAATCAAAACGGATGCTGCAACTATAAAAAAAAACAGTGACGGAATTTAAGAACTCAGTCTCTGGGATTAACATCAAATTAGAAATAGCTGAACAGAGGATCAGTGAACTGAAGGATGGATCAGTTAAAAATATATATATGACGGAAAAGTATAGAATACATTGAAAGAACCTGTTGTTAAACTATGTTGTTAAAGATATAAATGGGTCCCCTTATGAGGGAGAAAAGACAGAAAGGGGAATAAGAAATGCCTCCAGGAGTTGGAACTAAACAGCCTATTGATGAAAGTGTAAGAGAAGAGTGAAAAAGATGGCATACAATTGAGCATTCAGAGCTAAATCACAGATTTGTCAGTTTCTCCAGAAGTAACCTATTTTTGATTCCCAAGGAGAATCGCAATAATAAAACTAACTTAATCTAGTAGGTTATTTTCTCTCTAATGGCACCTGTCCTGATTAATAGGATTTCGGTCGATCTATTTCCTGGGCTTCCCTGGTGGCTCAGATGGTCAAGAATCTGTCTGCAATGCAGGAGACCTGGGATCCATGCCTGGGTTGAGAAGATCGCCTGGAGAAGGGAATGGCAACCTCTTCCACTATTCTTGCCTAGAGAATTCCACGGACAGAGGAACTTGGGAGGCCACAGTCCATGGAGTCACAAAGAGTCGGACACAGCTGAGCAACTAATACACATATTTTCTTACCATTTGCTGAGTAGAAGCAATCATTCAGAGCATTTTATAGCACTTTCTAAAGAACGCTTAGTGCCTTAGTGTTTCTATTTAAAGTTTCTAGGATGTTAATTTATATGCAAATAAAATACATAAGAGAGTTCTGTGCCTATTGTGTATATATGACCTCAAAGTAAATGCAAAATATTTATCCCAGAGGGAAAATAAGTTAGAGTGTCTGTGTTCAAAGACTTTTGAAAGCTCTTATTTCAGGCCGAACCGTTGCTGGTGAAGAGTGAAAGTCACTCAGTCATGTCAGACTCTGCGAACGCATGGACTATACAGTCCATGGAATTCTCCAGGCCAGAATACTAGAGTGGGTAGCCGTTTCCCTTCTCCAGGGGGTCTTTGCAACCCAGGGATCGAACCCAGGTCTCCTGCATTGCAGGTGGATTCTTCACCAGCTGAGCCACCAGGGAAGCCCCAACAGTTATGAGCAGTTAAGGATTTAACAAATGCTAGATTGTAAAGATAAAATAATAATTCTGCTACGTTAACACACATTTTCTTAAGATCAAATGTTCTCAACGCAGTTTCAGGGAAGAAGTATTTCCCCCTTATGGAAATATCAGTATGTTAATCCCTAAGAAGTCCTTTTCCGAAAAGTTACAAAATAGTTGCGACAATGTAGATGAAGTAGATTAAATGGTGATAAACATTGAGTTGATCTCAGTGAGGCAGCAGTGAGTGGTGGCCTGAAGTGAGATCTACTTCGCTGCCCAGGAACTGACCCTGGGTAGCCTGAACCAAAACCAGGAATCCTAGCCGCCAGACCAGCAAGGGCTAGAGGCTAGAAGCCAAGTTTCCCTGGATCTTTGACCAGTGAAAAATGCATTTATCATGGAGGCAGAATCGGTAAATGCAGGTACAACGTTTATTATTAGTGACACAGCACAGCAACATGTGGGAAAGCACACGGAGAAACAGCTGGTCTCGTTAAGACAGAAGCAAAGCAGAGAGACACACCTGGAGAGAAAGGTTATGGGCGCCCCCTAGTGAGAAGGAGCACAATAACCACAAGGCAGTTAAGTCATTTAGACAGGCCAGTTCTTCTGGGTCTTTGTCTTCCTTCCTGCCAAGTTTCTGGTTTCTCTCTTCCCATCTGACCTATCCTGGGACTCTCCCCTGGTGTGCACATACCCCTCAGCCAAGATGGATCTCCAAGTGGAGGCTTCTGGGAGAAGCAAGGCTCATTATGGTCTGGCATTTTCGCGGGACTTTTCACCCACAAGGAGCCTCTCTGCGCATGTGTAGTGTTTCCCTTGAACCGAAAGGGGGGTAGGGGGAGGGGAGATCTCTTCATCCTTGACTCAAGCAGGAGTTTGTCCCTCTTTGCCCTTCCCATGTCTATGAAAGTGTTCATAAGAGACAGACACTGGCTATTTACCCTCTTTCTGTTGTTACTTCCATTTCAGAGGGCAAGCAGGACACTGATTGGAAAGGCTCAACTGGAGCCCAACCATCTCTTGCCTCAGGAAATGTAAACAGGCTAGATGTCAATGCCTAACCTGGAGTCCATCTGTCTCCTACAGCAGCATTACGGGAAGACAAAAGGTAGAAAATTATGCCAATGGGGCACCACATCATGGTGCAAAAAGATGGATATAGACAAGGAAAGAAGGAATAAAAACTAAGCATGATGCTAATGGAAACCATTATGCAAGTTAATGGGGGGTGGGGGGAAACCTCATGGAAAACACTTGCATTTATGCCAT